TCTAGAGTGAGACTGATTACGTACATTCAAATTTCCAGTACCGACTTTATTGGCATCTCAACAGCTGTGTTTTATGCTGGTGTCGACCAAAGAGGCCAATCAACACGACTATTTGAATCGTTAACCACAAACATTTAATTCTAGTAAAATGTGTAATTGGAGGTATAATGAGGACCCAAGCACAGGACATGGAAGCAGGTTGAAACGTTGGCTAAAGAAGCCCTGAAATGGATAAGGGTGATACAACTGCAGGCATCCAGGAACTGAAGAGTAATAAGAGATTAACAAGAGGGGCTCTACCAAAGGGAGGATCGTGTTTCATTTTATACTTCTCTCTTAGCTTTTCATGCCCCACTGCAGCAGCTCTTTGTCTCTCTTTTGTCAACAACGCACTGTGTTGTGGTACCACTCTAATGCTTTTTCTACATTTTTGCTTCAAGTTCAGATAAAACGTCAGAAACCCATTTATACAAAGTCAGCATTGATACTCGTCTCCATATCAGTTCAGCATTGTGCAACTCCAGGGTCAACTTGTTTTCATGTCAGTAGCTGGCATGAGAGTCACGGCTGTGTGTGCTTGTTACAGGTCATAAAAAGCAGGTCGCCAATCAAAGTCAAATGCACAGTTTAGGCCATTTGATCGTTCAGCAGTGTAAATGTTTACGCCCGTTAACCTTTGAATGCAGTTTAGTCACAAGACTCGTGCTTGTAGGGAAAGTTCCTACGACACTGGCAATAGTCACCTACAAGTTCTAATGATGTTCTCGAGCACATGTTTTAATTAATTATTCAAAGAACAGAGAGGGCAGATTTTTGTTTCTTTATATAACGTTCCTGAAACGTTAAAAGTTAAACTAAGACATCACATTCTCCCTGCAGCATGTTGAGCGTGGCTTCAAGTACCAGATTATACTCTAATCTTTTATGAAACATTCCCACAATGATATTAAGGTGGGAAAACATCCTCCAAACAACATTATGAAATGAAAATGAAAATTAACAGATTGCGTTAGAGCAGTGGTGTCAAACATAAGGCCCAGGGGCCAGAAATGGCCCAGCAAGAATGCCAATCAAGCCCACTAGATGGCTTTTTATAACATTATAAAACATTTTAAATTTTATAACATTTCTAAATGATAAAGGCCTCCACCCTTACTACACCAAAGTAATTAATTAAAAGATGATCAATTAAAGGAAAGAAAATTTCCAGTTTTTTTCTGAAAAAAACAACAACATTTTTCTGTCACTGATTTGCATTTCTTTTTTCTATATTAAGATATATTACATATATTACATTTGAAGGTAAATATCTTAACCTGACAGGAGTGTTTTGCTGTTCCACTTAAAATGAAAGTGGGTCGTATGTGGCCCACAGTATAAAATGACTTTGATATCCCTGCATTAGAGGAATGCTTTTTTAAACTAGCATGTTGGTGATGTAGCAGCTCATCAGGTTCACAGGTTATTTTAATTTCTTTAGTACTAAAAGAGTAACATGTTTTCTTGTCACTGGTTGACAAGAAACTAAACTAATCAAAATTACAATCCACTGACAAATGTGACCTTAAGCACAGGTTGGGTGAAGACCCATTAGGTGTTCAGTGTGTCTAAGGTTAAATGAATCCTGACCATGAAGCTATGGTGGTAGACAGGTTGACTGATGAGGTCAGGCATGAGTCTCTGTGGACTATGATGTTTGCAGATGACACTGTGGTCTGTAGGGAGAGAAGGCAGCAGGTGAAAGAGCTCGGAGAGATGGAGGAATGCTCTGGAAAGAAGAGGAATGATGGTCAGAGAAAGCAAGACAGAATACATGCGTGTGAATAGGAGGGAGACAGGTGTAACAGTGAAGATGCAAAGAGCAGAGGTAGTGAAGGTGGACAATTTGAAATACTTGAGGTAAACCATCCATAGCAATGGGCAGTGCATGAGAGGTGAATAGAGTGAAACCAGGCTGAAGAACATCAGGGCTGATTCATGACAGAAGAGTAGCGACACCAGCTCTGATGCATGGTTCGGTGATGGCGGTACGGCCAAAATGACAGGAGGCCGAGCTGAAGATGAAGGAAAGCGCAGGGTGAGTGACTTGGAGACAAATTTAGAGAACAAAGCTGAGATGGTTTGGATGTGTGCAGAGGAGGAACAGTAGATATATTGGATAAAGGGGGTTAAAGATGGAGCTACAAGCTAGGAGGAAACAAGAACAACCACAGAGAAGATTCATGGATGTAGTGAAGGACATGCAGAGGGATGGTGTGACAGGTGGAAGCTGCTCAGGTGATCCGTGGTGGCGATCCCTAAAAGGAGTAACTGACAGAAGTAGGAGGTAATGTTTGCCAATGTTGTGTGAACATTTTCTGAAACATTTTTCAGAACCCCCCCCAAACATTTAGAGGCCTGATGTTTATGAAATGCTCCTCTAATTTAATATTAACCTAGGTAGAGTGCTTCACCTGAAGTATTCTGAGGATGCTGTCAGGCTAACAAATACAACATGATCGGGTTTCACATCTTTTAAAAGTCTTGAACTAAATGGTTTGATTATCATAAAATGTGGACTGTCAATCTATCCAGAGGGTTTGCAAAGTCAGCTGATAAAATGTTAAAACCATCAGAGCATAAAGTAGAACAACATTATCACCAAAGAGTTTAAAAGGACCCTGCTTTAAGCATCAAGGGACAGCAGTCAGGAGATGAGTTTTTCTAGCCAAGTCTGCACCTTGACAAGTAAAGCAAAGTAGAAACAGTTTCAAAAAATAAATAAAAAATGACAATGATACAAAAGAAGAACCAAACTTTATTTAATTTGTTCCCCACTTGTGTCAAACAAGCTCATCACATCACATTCTTCATCAGATGGAGACAAGCTTCAAGCAAGCAACTCGAGAGGTGCACAACAGAAAGGCACGAAACTGTCGGGGAGTGACCGGACGCTCGGAATCACAGGAAGGAAACGCCGTCTTCACACCTGAACTTCACCTGTCGTTAGTGTGCTATGACATGGATGGGGTAGTATGCGGTTTGATCCGGGTGATCGGAGTAAGCCTGAGTCTACTGCGTTTGAGCTTTAAGGTTAAGAGGGGACACCACCATGATTAATTCACCAAGTACTCATGTGTAAACAAATGTACATTTCAGGAAAATAGAAATCTCCTACCATGAGTGAGAAACTCCTCATTGAACCAAAAAAAACCCCAAAACTAAACAAAGGTGGTCCCAATGCTGGTTAAGTGTCCTGTTATCATCCCTTTAATTGAGCTACAATTAAGCGACCAAGCGTGTGAATCAAAAAGAGGTTCATGTTACATGGAGGGTGATACAATTAGAGACTCAGTGGAAAAATATGAATGTCTGGGAAATTAATGACAGTGGCTCTATTAGCTTGCTCGTACATTCATGTCATCAAAAATCAGTGTCATTCATTCTATACAAGAGAATTTACACATATACTATTATACAGCACAGAAACCGAGAGCGAAAAGCCTCTCTGGGGTGGCGGAGGGAAGGGAGGAGGAAGTGGAAGGCTAATTGCAGCCATAAATTTAACTTTTAAAACATGCAATCTATAATCAAACGATGCAATATCGATCATAAATGTTTTGGTACTCTATTCAGTCACTGGCATCAAAGCAAAACGGAGGGGAGAAATTTGAAAGGGGGTTTGCGAAATAAGCTGAAAGGTTATTTATTTAGGAAGACGCTGTCTCACGGGAAACGGAAGAGAGCATAAATCTGGGCAGGAAAGTGCTGGGAAGGTGTTTTTTTTAAAGAGCTGTAAGGGGCAGAAGACGCAGCGGGGTTGAATTATACGGACTGGTAGCCAGTGCGACTCTTCCTCCGACCAATCAGGTAAGAGATAAGCACAAGGATGATTAGGAAGCTGAGTGCCACGCCAACTGCGATGGGCACCAAAAAGCTCAAATCAGAATCCAGGAAGCACTCTTCAGCTGACAGAGAGAGAGACACAGAGAGGGGAGGTTTTTGTTTTTTGGGGGGAAACACTCTGAGAGGAAGTTTGGGTTAGAAATGCAGCAGGAAGTGGAAACTGCAATCAGCAACATGACAGTAGTGTTGATTTTGGTGGTGATAAATACGTCAAAACACACAAAGGGATTTGAGTCAGTGTAATTGTTATTAAAGTAGGTGCAGGAAGTGATGGAGGTTTGGAAGATACACAAAAACGCCTTTTTGCCGAACCCAATTAATGCCGCTCTTATACCTGCTGATACAAAGCTGGTCAGCACAGCTTAGCATAAACACTAGAAACTGGTCATGTCAGCATCTTTAAAGTCCGCTCATTAACAGGTTCATCTGAAAAGACTGTTAATGCAACCTGTGGATTTTAATATGCACAATTGTTTGTTGCCATGGAGAAAAAAAAAACCCAAAGGATTTCTGAATCTAACCATCGCCAGCCAAGAAATTTAGTTCAGATTTATTTATTCTGCTTAATTTGTGCATCTTAAACATTTGATTTTTTTAAAACACATTTTCTGCAAGAAATGGTGGCACTACTGTACTGCCTGGTTTAAGCCATGATGGGCGTAGTATGTAGAACATGGCACTCATTGTTACATT